GTGTGTGTGTGTGCTGGTGTGGGTGTGTGTGCGCTGTGGTGCTGCGCTTGTGTGTGTTGTGTGTGTGTGTGTGTGTGTGTGTGGTGGTGCTGTGTGGTGTGGTAGTGTGCGCTGTGTGTGCTCGTATTACATTAGTTGAATATACACAACACCCACATATGTTGGGTGTAGTATATGATGTGGTGGTGTTCGTATGTCGGTAGGTGGTGTGTCGTTGCGCGGTCGTGTTGTGTGTGTGTTCTGGTGCATATTGATGTGTTGTTATCCGGGGACACAATACGAATATTCAAATCAATGTATAGTACTGGGCTTGGTTATTGAAGTTACCAGAAGCAGCACGTCTCACATCGTTTTATAGGGATATCAATTCTAATTAATAATCACACCCATACGCCCGATGAAAGGGCAGAGGAAGACTTCTCATACGGAATCTGAACTGGCATACAAACTGTGTGTGTCTGGTAAGTCGATTTGTGATTAACACTTAATAGAGCAAATAGTTACTGTCACAGTTTGAGTCACTTATGTCAGTTCTTGCGTGAATTCATTAATAGATTCGTAAAAAAATTACATTTCCAGTTCGACTTGCACGCCGTTTCTCAGAGTATGAGACATATTGGCGCATATGGAAGAAATCTGACGACGTTCTGGTCAGGCTGCCCGATAACAGACGGAAAATCTGCCACTGGATTTCAGATGTACAAGAGAAGGGACTTGAATATGTTCAACTTTTCTCCGCGCACAAAAAAAAGTTAATTTTGAGTTAATAACAAAAAAAAGAAGGATATTACACTGTGAATTGTAACGGTTGTATTATCGGATCAATGATTATTACTGCATCAAGTATTTCGGTAGTGTTCTTCGGAAGAAAGGAAAGAGATCAACAGTGTTTCACTAATTCAGTTATTCTCAACCTCCAATTTCAGACAAGAGCGAAGGTGGTACTCTCAGACGTCGACATAGAATCACAGACCAATCGAGAAGAGAACGTTTCCAATAATTTTTGCAAAATCTGATATCAAAAACACATATCCTGGTTCTAAAATCGGGAAATAACCACTACTTAGTCTGCAGACTCGTTCAACGCCCCTCTGTCCAAGATGCTGGCCGTGGCTGTGGCGAATAACCACGAGGGAGGCGTCGGAGGCGGGTGCGGCCGACCTGCAGACGAAGAGGACCTCCTCCTGACACGCCTCCGGCAGATGCAGAGTACGCTGCGAGAGTGCCACTGGAGACTCGACCGAACAGATCGCTGGGCCGAGTCGCTGTTCCGAAAGGGCGAGAAGGAGGGGGCGGGAAAGGAGGACCTCGCGGCGCCTTATTTAAACGGGAAAGAAGAGCCTCTGGAATGCGACCCACGTGTCAGGGAAGGCGATGTAAGTGTTGATAAAAAGCCTCGACGTAGGGGGCTGGTAGTTCGAGAGGGCGTGTGCAAAGAGTCTATCATAGAGTCCGAAGTGGTGGAGGAGCTGGTGCTGAGGAAGGAGTGGGAGGACGACTTCGATGATTATGGTAATCTGTTGATGACAGACGCCTACCTGAGAGAAGCAGAGAACACCCAAAACGCAGCGAAAGAGGTAAAAAAAAATCCGACGGCAAAACCGAGACTCGAACGGCAGAACTCGCTGGACGTAGAGGTTATTCCCTACACTGTTCCTGAGCCGAAGTCCGGGCCGAAAGAACAATGTGCTGAGGACGTCGAGGAGATCGGAGTCCACGACATGTATCTTATAGAGAAGAAAAGACTTTCGCTTCCTCGGAATTTTGACGAGAACGAGATACGTTTTTTCAGTGCAAGTCCAGTTTCCAGCGAATGTGAATATGAGAGAATAACGCGGAGTGAGACGCCAGGATCCATCTGGAGAAAGCCCAGGGGAGGCATGCGGCAGGCAAACTCCCTCCCCAATTTTCAAGGGTGTTTCGATTTTGGCTTGGAGTTTGCTCTCTTCAAGCATCTCGATTCAGTAGAGGAATCACTCGAGAATCTCAGACTCCAGTTTTTTACCCTGAAGGACGCCATCACCCACAGCACTGAAGAGGACTCAGAGTTCGATCTCCTTTTACCGGACCCCTGGTTCATAACCGACCAGAAGGAACCCAAAACCCAGGAACCGAGAAGCAAGAGAGATCCTAAACACAGGGATCCAACTGACAAAACTGTCCCCGAGGATCCTGCTGACGAAGACAAGTCTGAACACCTGAAACCCGAGGCTCCAACAGTCCCCGAACATCGCGATGGAAACGAACTCCCTTGCAGCACGGAAGACAAAACCGAATCGGCCGAGAAAACGGACAATGGAGATCTCCGTGCGAGCTCAGCCACCCAAGAAACGACCCCATCTTCGCTTTCCTTAGAAGATGACTTAGAAACAACGACTCCCCACATAACGAAGGAGAGAGAAAAGAACCAACGGACTCGCACAGACGCCAGACAGTACGAAGACTTCCAGCGATGTTTAATGACAGTGATCATAGTTTTCTTCCTCCTCCTGATGCTGCT